CGAACTTAACAGCCTAGAATCAGAGAGAATTTCTCGACCTATTATCATTCATACGCCCCAAGCTCTTGGTGACGTGCAAAATCCCATCGATAATTCTATCATCGTGGAATTCAGGAATCATGAATGCACCTTTGCACTTCGTGCTGGTGTTTAATCTCGCTGCAGGGGTAGTCCACATGGTTTGAACGCCCGCAAGATCCTTCATGCGTAATTTCTTAGCATGAGTTTGAGCAATCAAAGGTTCGGATGCTCCTGTATCCAGTAAGCAACGGAGTGTAACGGGTTTGGTTTCCTTTTTTCTCGCTTGTTAATTTAACACAGACGATGGTTTGAGGTCTCTTGTCTGCAAACGTTTATGAGTGGTTGGCCACGGACGAGGTTAACGATGCTAATAGATCATCAGAGTCTAGTTGAGCAGCTTCTAGGCATCATCTAATTTGCCGTAGAGTTCATGGTTGCAAACAATTCTTGTTTACTAGTTAGTGAGATTTCTTCATCACTTTGGTATTGGAAATCGGAACATGGTTCCGTTGAGTCATCATCCTGGCTAATCCTCAGATAGAGATTCTCCATCCAAGTGATTGAAATCGATAGAGGAGTTGTCCTCGTTATCAGAGTCTTCTGATTTGTGCTTGGCAACATGGTGCGAAGTTTGCAAGTGGTTGCAAGAGTATCGTCGATCTCGTTTTCTCGTCATTGTCGACGAGAGGAAGGATGGGTTTGTACGCAACTGTTTCTCGAAGTTGCTGAACGCATGCTTTCCTTGCAATCTTCATGGTGAAGGAATATGTTGAGGGTAGCTGAAAGCTATTGGTTGTTAAAAAATGCAACTACGCTATAAAAGCTATGTAAAGATCTTTCGAGTGTTTTGTGTTTGAGAGAATGAAAGTTATAGAGAGATTAGAAAGCTATGAAAACTAATCAACGAGAGAGATCACCAAAAAGGATCGTAGATCTGGTCTCCCGCGGGAGACTATAAAGTGTGATAGAGTAGGTTGGGTTAGCTAGTAATCCTACGTATCTCCACGATCCTAAAACGGAACGCGTGGAAGATTCGTCTAGCATGGATCTAGTGGCGTGGAAGTACTCCATGCTGGCTAAATATCTAGAGCGATGTTTCATCATCAACCTAGTATGACTAGAGCGGTCATTGAGAACCCTGTCTCAAATGACTATTCACGAGAGACTCAGTCATGAGTCGAACTCAAACCCTATCTAGGATCGAGTCGCGAATAAGGCTAAGAGCCGTGTATTGCACTACTGCTAGCCCCATGGTTGTGACAGGTACAGCAGGCAATGCAGCTCCAGTCGCAAGCTTCTCTTCCTCAACCCCATCGAGAATGTCAGGAACTGGAACATCAGCCCCTTCTTCTCTAGCTACCCCAGAAACAACTAATGAGGTGACCCCACTGATCACCTTCGAGCCAACCGGTCAGCTTACACCTGCACCAACCTTTGAGCCCACGCTTGAACCAACCAATCAGCCTACACCTGCACCTACCACAGAGCCAACTGCCGTGCCAACTCCAAACCCAACCACTGAGCCCACATTGGAGCTTAATCCCACAGCAACCGAGTCACCATCTGTTGCCACAGACTTTACCTTAGACCAACAACAATTGTCTCACCATGGCCAAGCTTGCCACCTTCGCCGCAGTGCCTGTCACCATTCGTTGAAATGATATCGTCTTACAAAATCTCATTTGATGGCGATGTATCAGAGGTTCCACCTGACACATTAGCAGAGGCTTTCATTCAAGGATATGAAGCAGTACCCAAAGATGAATGTTCACCAGTGCTTCAATCTGTGACTGTTGAAATACTTAGTAGCTCACAACGAAGACTTCAAGACTCAAACGAAGCTATCTTTTCGGCAAGTTCAACACAACCCGAAGTAGCTAGCCTTGTTTCGACTGAATCAGACAAGACTGCTTTCTTGTCATCATTTAACCAGCACACCAGTTCCAGTGAGATTGCAATGGCGATAGGGATTGCAGCTTCAGATCAAGCTCCAACCAGTAACACGCCAATCCCAAGCAGCCCTTCAGAAAGCCCAACCTCAACATTGCCAACCGTGACACCAGGATCTCCCAGTTTTGCGCCCATCATTACACCGGGTAGCCCCAGTGCAAGTCCAACAACAGCCATCCCAAGTGTGATGCCAGGATCTCCCAGTTTGACACCAACAGTTACACGAGGTAGCCCCAGTGCAAATCCAACAACAGCCATTCCAACTGTAGTCCCCGGTAGCCCTTCAGAAAGCCCCACTTCATCCTTGCCAACCGTGACACCAGGATCTCCCAGTTTTACGCCAACAGTTACACCAGGTAGCCCCAGTGCAAATCCAACAACAGCTATGTCAACCGTGACACCAGGATCTCCCAGTTTTATGCCAACAGTTGCACCAGCTAGCCCCAGTGCAAATGCAACAACAGCCATTCCAACTTTAGTCCCCGGCAGCCCTTCAGAAAGCCCCACTGCATCCTTGCCAACCGTGACACCAGGATCTCCAAGCGTCACACCAACAGACACGAGGTAGTCCCAGTTCAAGTCCAGGCAGTCCTTCATTGTTTCCATCGGGAACTCCTTCTTTGTCCCCATCTGTGGAAATTGGCATCCCCTCTGTGGCATCCAATCATCCTTCTCAGTTGCCCACAGGAAGCACATCAGCTGTCCCATCATTTTCATCTGAGCCCTCTTTACTCCCTTCATCATCACCATCGAGGATATTATCCTCTCCAACAGCCACCCCTTCAAAGCCGCTATCTATGCATCCATCGGCCTCCCCATCAATCAACCCCCTGTGGCAACGAATCACCCTTCATGGGCCCCCAGTGCTCAAGCTTGGTCTCAGAGTGCTGTGCCAAGTGAGGAGCCATCAGTTCTCCCATCTGTCAAGCCAACCACCTCTGCTTCCTTGTTGCCTTCTCAGATTCCAAGTGTACCCCCTCCTCGTTGCCATCTAAAGGTGCAGTATTGACTTCCTTGTCACCATCGACTCAACCAAGCACTGGCCCAAGCCCCATTGTAACTGTATTGGAAAGTCCAAGTATCCGACCGAGCATGGAACCAAGTGGCACATCATCAACAAGTCCAACAGCAGTTGCCTCATTCAGTCCAAGTTCGGACACAACCAGTGAACCATCAAAAGACCCTACTGCAACCCCATCATCTGATCTGAGTGCTACCCCAAGTGGGGAGCCATCAAATCGCCCAACTGTGTTGCTATCACCCAATCCAAACATTGACCCAAGCATTGAACCAAGCATTGAACCAAGCAATGAGCCATCAAGAAGACCAACTGCAGAAGCCCCATCATCTCATCCGAGCTTGGTGCCAAGTAATGAACCATCAAATATCCCAATGACAACCGCATCCTTAATTCCAAGTTACAAACCAAGCACAGATCCATCCAAAAGCCCATCTGGGACCACTTCATCTGCTCCAAGCAACATACCAAGTGGAGGTTCAATATCTCCGTCGTCCAGTCCAAGCAGTCCAAGCGACGAACCAAGCGATAAACCATCGCAAAGCCCATCTGAAGTTCCTTCTTCCAGTCCAAGCAACATACCAAGCAGCAAACCATCAACAGGACCATCATTCATCCCAAGCAACACACCAACTAGTAGGCCATCGCAAAGCCCATCTGAAGTCCCCTCTTCCAGGCCAAGCAGCATACCAAGCAGTGAACCATCCAAAGGACCAAGTGAGATACCATCATCCATCCCAAGCAACCTGCCAAGCAGCAAACCATCGCAAAGCCCGTCTGAATTTCCTTCTTCCAGTCCAAGCAGCATACCAAGCAGTGAACCATCTAAACGACCAAGTCAGGTACCATCGTCCATCCCAAGCAACCTGCCAAGCAGTGACCCATCATCCAGTCCAAGCAACTTGCCAAGCAGCGGCAGTCCAAGCAGCCTGCCAAGCGGTGAACCATCAAAGAGTAATGAACCATCCAAGACTCCAACAGGGGTACCATCTTACCATCCAAGCATGTTACCAAGCAGTGAACCATCCAAAAATCCATCAGCTCCTCCATCAGAGTCTCCGTCATTGATGCCCAGCTCAAGTCCGTCACTATCGCCATCACAGTCTCCTACAGCAATGCCATCACCGTCGCCAACTGTGTATGGCACTGGTCCAATTGTGAATGTGGCAACCAATGAGTGCATCACTGTGGCAACAGCCACAAACTCTGAAAGGATCTACTTAGCTCCTTGTGATGGTTCTATCAATCAGAGGTGGCTCTATGATACCAGCACTAAAGCAATCAAGCCAGTGTCAGATGGAGGTATTTGTTTTGACCATGATATCGACAGCGCGAACATTGATGTTACGATATACAACTGCCATGGTCTTGACAACCAACAATGGTTTTCCAATGATCGCAATGAGCTCAAGTGGTTTACAGACACCGAAAGGAATAGTATCCTACAGGAAAAGTGCATGGATTATGATGGCAGCAACTTCATGGTCATGCTTGACTGTGATGGAAGTAACAACCAATAGTTCACTTTTGTACCTGGTTTTGATATTGTCACCTTTGACACTGGGCTCATCAGCATTGGTTACAATGGAGAATGCATCGAAATGCAAACAACAGGGTCGTACAGACACATTGGAACCATGCGATTCTGGAAACTCCCTGCAATTGTGGCAATACAATCCACAAAATGAGGCAATCTACATGCCTGGTTATGGATGTTGGGACTATGGAAATGATCAGTTCGGACCTGGCGGCAACAAGCCTTACGTGCGTGGCCGTTGCCATCAAGGTCAGTATCAACAATGGTACATCTCGGGAGATGATTTGAAGAGTCGTTGGCAAAATACATGTTTGGATTGGGGGGTTTCAGCCGGTGTCATGCTAATGTACAGCTGCAATGGTGGGTCTAATCAGCAATTCACAGTGCCAACCAGCTTTTTTGGGTGAGGCCCTCATGGCCCCGAGGCCACAAGAAGCTACATGTATTGCAATCAAGAGGAAGCATCTTTGGGAACAACCCTGTAGAAGTGCCATTCCGCTATCCTGCAGCAGGATGCCAAATGATGAAGCAGAAGTTCTGCCTGAAATGCTAGACTTGTGATGACATGAGGCAACCAACCAATTCATCTTTGTCGGCAACCTCCTTTTCACTGCTGTTTCTAATGGGTCTCGTCAACTACTAGACTAGCTACAGCCATGGATAGAACGATACAGTTAGTTTACCTTCTTGGCATCGATCGCTACTCCCAGAGCCATCATTGGTTGCTGCGCCGTTTTGGTCGAAGCACTAGCGGCGCTGGACGTGTATCTCGTTCGGTAATATCGAAAGGGCCATTCGACGGTATGGTACAAGCCAAATGCAATCATCCACGAGACGAGTACCGCCTTGGCCACCATGCCCAAGAGGGCGATCAGAGTGTACGTGTCATTGACGTCTTCTCCTGCCAACATGCGTGCCGCACGAGATTGCGTTGTGGGGACACTGCCCAGAACGAGGATCAAGACATGGGACATGTAGATCCCGTACGTGTAGGGTGCCAACCATTTCCACAAGGGATTGATAAAAAGAAAAGAAACCGCCGACGATAGTTGGTTCCACCATGCTTCCTTGGAGAGTAAATTGTTGTGATTGTGATTGTACATGGAAACTACAACGTCGACGAACAAGTAAACTGGAAATCCCGAGAACATCCAACAAAAGCTGGTCCACTGGAGTAAGGCGAATGCGACTATCAGTTTGGTCGCTTGCATCATATAGAACGACACGGTAGACGTGATTTGTCGTCGATGTTTCAAATGGAGGTAGAGCCAACTTCCCAGGAACATGGAGGATCCATTTTTATGGACGGATTGAAAGTAGTTCTGGTCGAGAATGTCGTGTCGTAGCGAGACCATTTGATTCCAATACTCGGTGTCAAATTCGTATCCCCGATCGGCCCAGAGACCCCGAATATCCTTGACTCCCGACAAAGTTTGTGTGAGACACAGATCTTGACTGTTTTGATACTGCAACGAATAGACGGCTCCTCCCAACATGGATTGCACGTCCTTCCATGACACCAAGTCTCGTTCTTGGACCAACGTCCAGGTACTGTAGGCCATGCTCCCCAATGCCATAGTATACAATGCCGGCAACACGAGCCGACGCCGCCATGTTTCAGAAATACAGGCATGTAGTAACACCAACACGAGATATCCGTGCACATCGACCATGACGGACCATCCCGCACCGGCACAAGCCGTGGCCGGGAGTGGTTCGTGGCGCATGACGAAAAAGAGACTCTCGACCAATTTGGGAAAGGAATCACAAATTTTACCACCACCCTTGTCCCGTGTATTGTTAATAGCGCCAATGTAATTGATCACGTTGAATGTGAAATAGATGGGATAGAGTCGGAGCCATCGATTCAAGAGGAAGCGGCCATAGTCGCGACGTGTCATTTGTTGTGTCTGCTTCTTGTCAACGAGTCGATCGAGTTGATACTCGCAGAGAAATCCACTGAGTATCCAAAAAAGTGGCATTTGAAAACTGTTGTTGAAGAATAACTTTCCAATGAGTGGGATGTTGATGAGAGCTTGCATGCAAGGTTCGTCATGAGGAAAGAAAAGGGCTCCCAGGAAATGATGAACATGCAGCAGAATGATGGACAAGGAAGCAATGCATCGGAGACCGTCCAAGCAGGACAAGTTGAGTTTGGGTGCCGGTACCTTCTTCATTGTCGTATCTGATGAAGATTCAGTCATCTTGTTTGTCTACCTCCCCAGCCCTTGCTCTTGGTCAGTGTTCCTTGCTGCGATTGCCTTGGAAAGGCTGAATTCTGGCGATTTGTGAGGAGGGGAAGGGTTTTCCAAAACGATTGTTGTCTTCTAAGTCCTTTAGGTTCGCATTGAGCTCGACTGTTTCCTTTCTTTGAATTTTTTAGCTTCCTCCCAGAGCTCTCACTTTTTCATTTCAATTCCCAAAGCCACAACCCAACAACCACCACGATGAGACTTGTATCCTCCTGTTTCCTTCTTCTAGCGCTGCCATGCTTGTCGTTGGCATCGGAGCAACAACAGTACAAAAGAGGTGTCGAACAGGCTGGAATCTCCCGTGTCAAGGATTTCTTCAACACCAATGGCTACGTCTTGCTGCAAAACTTTTTCACTCACGAAAACAAGCTCTTGCTCAAGACGCTCCGAAACACTACCAAATCGGTCTTTACCAATACCTTTCAAGACATGTACGACAAGGGATTCACACAGTTTCCCGAGCACAGTCGTGTGATTTTTGAAGCCGACGACAAAGGGGCCAATGAAAAGAAGCGCATTTACGCCATGCAACCAGGACGAGAAAATGGATTTCAAGAGATTGTCATGCGCAATGCGGGTCGTTACGAAATTTCACTGCAACTCAATCCGGATATCTTTGACAATGACAGCATTGATCCCTTGTTGGAACAATTGCGCGCTGTGATTCCCTCTCTCTTTGACAAGGAAATGGGAAACATGACACACGTGAACCTGGCATCGTCCCTCATTATCTCCACAGCAGGAGCCGGTGAACAAAAGTTCCATGCCGATGGAGAACACTTGGATATGGAGGAACATTTGCCCGTGCATTGTCTCAACGTCTTTATTCCACTCGTTGATGTCCCCGACGAGAAAGGTCCCACCGAGTTGTATCCGGGATCGCATTATGTCACCAGACAACCTTCGCCCATGAACATTGATACCAACGAGTTGCGAAAACCCTATGCGCCCGAGCTCAAACTGGGCGATGCTCTCATTTTCGATTATCGCATCTTGCATCGGGGAAAACCAAATCGGTCCAAAAAACATCGACCCATGTTGGTATTGGCCTTTTCCGAACCATGGTTTACCGATGTCAAGAATTGGCCCCAGAGGAGTTTGAAACATACCACTACCAAACGTTAGACCTGGTTACCAGGTAGTTATTGGCTCTAAACGAGACGGAAAAGTATCGGCACTTGACGTTGCAGCCTCCAAAGATCTTGCATACTTACTTACTTGTTGATTTTAAAAGTAGTACAGTAGTGGCGCAACATGTAGCTACTGTAGTCATCAGTAGGTACCGGTACGGTACGGTCAATGCTGCCATTTATCATTGGTTAATTAAAAGTAGTCTCTACGCATACCTGTATGCATAGCTATAGCTGGCTGATCTGATAAGTTACTTGTGGTGAAGAGACAGGACAATTGAGAGATGCTCAAGAATCCTGGAGCGTTCAACACCAAGATGCTCGCAGCCATTGATTGCAGGGTCCATTTCTTGGATTCAATTAGCACTCGAATGCGTTCGACCCAGTATACATGTACACTGAAGACTTTCTTTTGCTCCACAGGAATTCACAGAGATGCTGTTGGATTCGATTCGCACCGGGACCTACTAGTACCATGGCGATGAAATCGTAACAGGTTCCGACTAACTCGGTGCTCTTGAGCCTGTGAAGCTGCAACATTAAATGGATCCTTTATATACCAAATATTTGCTCTTTTCAGGTATTCTTGCCCAGAGGCAGAAAGCAAGTCGATGAGGTTCTTACCGATGGCTGCTTGTTGCTAATTGCAAACTAATAAGCTACACTGTGACGCTTTCACGAGCTGAACGAATATTTGTCACCCATTGTGGGTTACCCCTTCTTTTGATAGTTGACAGTGCGAAGGCTGCAAAAAGGTGGTATCACCGTGCACCACGATAGAATGCTAGTGCCGTTAGGGGCATGTGATTTAGCTAGACTAGGAGCTAGCGAGACTTGTGTAGCATGTATTTGGTGTTTTCTGCTATTGCTTCGTCGCACTGTACCGGTACGTGTCCTTGCGATGAGGAAGGAAGGAAGGCCATCTAGCTAGCAATCAGTGCAGTCTACAGTAAGATGGAGTGGCCGCAGCAGTCAGCTTTAATGCGCTGGCAGATAGGTTCCGTTCCAAGCCTCCTTCGGAGCCGGTGTCTGCCTTCAGCACCGGTAGTAGGCAGATCACAGATTTCGTTGACGTTGGATAGCTCGTTCGATACCACCAGAAATCATTGCCTGGCGGCCAACTAGCTAGAGGCCGTACATAACACAAAAACCTAATGGATTATCGAATCATATGTGTGTGCGCGAACTTTTTTTAAACACTCTAAGCAGAGTAGATTATCCAAGCAATGTAACGGCAAAATGAAGGGTGAAGAACAACTAACGGTACAGGCAGCAAGCAATGCTAACCTGCTTCACTGACTATGGAATAGCTTGGTCGGTGGTGGTGGTGACGGGGAGGAGCCCCCGTTGTCTGAGGCGATGGACCTGGAATATCCTCCTCGACATGAGCGTTTCTTCTCAGAAACCTCTGGTCGCCACCCCGGCTGGTACTAACTCCAGTGCCATCATCGTCGTCATCGTCGTCATCATCATCATCATCATCATCGTCGTCGTCATCGTCGTCGTCAACTCCATCATCATCGTCGTCGTCATCTTCGTACACTGTGTAGTTTGCGTACGATGCCGCCCCAACAGGTGGTTCTCCGTTCAGAAGGGCAATGCCTTCCGCCAGGATCGCATCCATAAAGTAAAAGGCGTCCCCTCCGTCGGTATTGAGAAGAACAATTACATAGGTGTTTGCCTCTGGCAGGATGACGGCATCGGTTGCAACTCCGTAATCTAGTCCGTTGTGCTGTATCCCGTTGGTCCAATCCAAGCTTGTATCTTCTCCGTGGAAATCTCTCACGGTGTTCGACAGGTGGTTCCAGGACAAGGCATAAATGCAATCATCATCTCCCAGAATATTGCCAGACTCGTCCTTCTCCTGACATCCAAACACATGATCAAACGCTGTGGTGTTGGACCAGAGAGTTCCAATCCCATAAGAGAGCATGAGATCCGCATACGCGGCCATGTCACTGATTGTAGAGTGGAGCTGTCCGTTTGCATAGTCGGCAAAACAATAGTGACCCCAGGGTTCCCACGTACCACTCGCTTCGTCGTATGGATAGAGAGGAACAGCCTCAAGTGTGTTGTTGGGTAGGTCACGTCGAAACCAGGCAGTGCTGTTCATGCCTGCTGGCGCAAACACGCTTGTTGCCGACAACTCCTCAAACTTTTCCCCCGTGAGCCTCTCGATGAGAGCGGCAATGTAAGCGGGGGCAATATTGGAGTATTCACGCCGTTCCCCCGGTCCATAGTCTTCACTCCAGACACCACCCATTGCGTCTTGTGCTAGCTGGTACCAATTGACAGAGTATCCAATGTTGCCCACTGTAGTTTCTGTCGGTTTGTTGACAAAGAGATCCTCGAAGAATTGTTTGGTGTCGTCAATAGGGCACTCTGGGTTGCCCACATGGAATGGATACATCTCTCCTGTCGGCCCATAAACCGCGGTTGCGTTGTCAGGATCGGGAACACTTCTCTTGATGGAGGATCGATGGTTGATGAGCATCCTCCATGTGACGTTGGTCGTTGGAAAGAATGGATTCCTACAGGCAGTGTTGATGGCTCCTCCCTTGAGCGTGGGTCCGCCCAGAACGCTGCAAATGTCATCATCCAAGTCTAGACGGCCCTGATCAATCAGAACGGCCATAGTAGCGCCAACGAAGGGTTTGGATATAGACGCCAGCATGAAGGCGGTATCCGTATCGACTGGCTCTGCGTAGGGGCTTCCCGAAACTTTGCCATAGGCTCCCAAAAGCGGAGCCTCCATGCCCTTTTGCCAGGAACAGGAAGAATGGGAAACACGGAATTAGAAAAAAGCCGAGACGGGAATGGTTAGTGCCCCACGAGATGTACGTACCGGTCCCCTGAAAGCGTAGGCGGCTCCACGGATGTTTCTTCTTGCCAATTCTTCATCTATAGTCTGAAAGAAGAGGGCCACTCTATCGGCGTCGAGATTCACAGCAGTGTTGTTGACTTGATCCGAAGCAGTGCTGCTCACGAAGGCAAAGAGGAAGAGTGAGAAGACGGCGAGAAGCATCCTGGAGAGAACAATTGTGGCGCAGAAGCTCGGAGGTACCGTATTGGTACTGTATGGACCCAAGAGATTTGGAGATTGTTGGTTGGGGGTATTGGATTTGTGTCCTTTTAGCGGTCCTTGCATTGATGCTGAGAAAAGTTTGCATGTCCGGACACCTTCAAATAAGCCATCTTGATTTTTATTTTCACTTTTGGAGGCATCTTTTCAAACGCTACCGGTACGTACGCTACAGTAGTATCGTAGAGTACCTCATTTCCCTAAAATATAGTAAAGTTCAGTTGAAATCTCAAAGGTTTCACCACAACAAAAAGTGGTCTTCATGGACAATTTCAGCAAATTTTGCTGGGATGATTTCTATTAAATAGTACCGGTACTATAACTATTCCATGTTTCTGGAGTCATTTTTTTGTTAAACAAATTTATAATGAAAACTCAAAGAGTCTCAAAAGTCAGGTTCCAACTTTTCACAAGGCTTTTGAAACAAAGGATTTAGTCAAAATGGATGAATATTCCCCGAGAGTTGTCGGGACGCTCTCTTCGTAGCAAGTATCTTGAGCAGTGTCCCGTAACTGTATGCTGTTTGGTTTATTCCCTGGAACACAGTTTTAGACGGGTAGGTGCGGTAAATATAGGGTTAAAGATATACTTTACTCTGCAAATTTGAATCAAAATATGTTTTACCGCAACTACGTGAATCTCAGAAGTGTCTTCCTGGTCTGGAAGTTTCAAGCTTTGGAGCCTACAGATGCCTCGCGTGGAACGCTTTGGGAGAAATGGCATAGCGGCCTCTGTTGTACCTTATCGGATAGTTGGGCACCAACAGACCGGTGGGTCCTCTGGTTGACAAAAGTTTTCAGCAGAAACTCCCTTGAAACTCCTCTATCTGGTCATCTGGTCCCCTCTTACTGTCCGATTTCCAGCCACGTGGCTTGCTTGGACAGCTGTGTGGCTGACTTGCAAGCAAGGTTTGCTATTTTGGATCTGCAATACCAAGTGAAGTGGATACTGGTAGCATGTCCACGTCAAACAATTCTCTAGTTGGCGGGACGATACCATGTATCAGAGGAGCGTGTCTTGTGCCATGGATGAAAACTTCAAGAGCTTCAAGAAGAGCAGAGCAAGCACTTCAGCAACAAGAATGTTGTGTTCATACAACCAATCATGATTATTGTTGCTCAGGAATGCCAATCCCTTTGTCTGCTATTGGGATACCGGTAGATGGATAGCTACTAGCAAGCAAAGTACTTGCAGTCAGACTAAGTAGATACGTTAAGGAGTGAGGGGGGCTAAGCTAGGCAGAGCAGCGTGGGTGGTGGTGGGTTGCACTGGGAGAGCAAAGAGGACGGGAGCAGGGCAAAAAATGGGGGGCTGGGGGGTGCCAAGGGGAAATGGAGGAAGTAGAGGCGAAGTCAAGAGGGAGGGAGGGGGGCAGGATTAGGGGAAGAGTGCAAGTGCACCATGGGCAGCCGCGGTACCATGTAGCTCATTGTTGGTAGCGGGAGACACTATTTTAACACGCAACCGGCTGAGCTGTCAAATACCTCCGGCGCCATCAAAAAGATAACATAGAAAGAAGTTGCTCCGCCTGTTTCGTTATTCGTGGCCATACACGAATGAAGGTCTTTCCTCGATTGACTGGTGAACGTAAGCCTTAAATAAGAGTCTCACCATTAATTCCATTCGTCTCGAGAGCATTGTTTCGAGTTCGCTCCAGAGAGATCTCAAAGCAGGTCTATACCAGTGAAATCATCTCTGCAGGCTTCTTGAGTCTAAATCCCTAAATCCCTTCGAACTTCCCAGGAGCTCTTCCCGCCACCCGCCACCCGCCAATATCGTGGCAGATTCTAAAATATTATTATTATCTTCAAGGTCATCCAAGCATTATTGGTCAATGCAAAACAGCCCCGCCAGGCTCAACCAGATTTCCTTCGTGTTGTTGTTTGTGGCAGCAAGAGGCATCCCATTTTCTTGGTCCTCCCACCCATCCCACCGACCAACACGCGCTACGCACTCCCAACAAACAACAACTACTGTAGTACCAACAACCATGTCTCACCCACCAAAGGACAATGATGACGACTCGTTGCAGGAAGCGCTAAAACGGATTGCGGAGTCGGAAGCGGTTCATCCTGAGATTGAAGAAGTCGTGCGGCAGCAAATGAGTGCTGCCAGTTTGACGGGTGGAGCCGCTATTACTGCGCCTGTTGTTGCTGCTGCTGGTAGTGGCAGCGGCGGTGGAGACGACGATTCTCTGGAGTTTTGCTTGAAAGAAATCGCTGCAGCAGAAGCGCGAGGAAGCATTACCAACGGCGGTGTGCCATTGGAAGTGCCCATGGCACCTGGTGATTTCGAAGAAGAAGAAGAAGTAGTAGAAGACGACTTGGAAGAACCGGAAATGGCCCAGAAGAAACCTGCCGCGGCGGCCAAACCGGAAATGGCCAAGCGACCGGGTCCTGATGATGACGACGACGAAGACGTGGAAGATCCCATGGCGGCGTATCGTCGACGAGAAGCGGAAAAACTCAAAGCCGAAAAGTCCCAATACAAGAACCTAGAGAGCGCCGACTCATTTTTGACACGACCCGCACGCAACGTCCAGTTGGGCAAGGGCGGTGCCGTCAATACCGGCACCATGACACCCGGTGCCGTGTCGGTAGGCCAGTTGGCACCCAATGCGCAAGTGTCCGTGCCGCAATTGGCGGTAGAAGTATCACAAATGGAACAAGCCGATCCAACTGGTATGACGGACGAACAAAAGAAGAAGCAGAAACAACAGACCATGATGGAATCACTCATGGTGCCGGCGGCCATTGGAGTTACCGTCGTTGTTGTGATTATCATTATTGTAGTCATTGTCGTCACCACCGCCGGTGGTGGTGAGGATGAGACAACGATTCCCATGACGACGTCAACCGGGGAACCGGAAGACGAAGGAACCAAGGCACCCCTCGAGGAGTTTGCGCAAGACGCTTTCCCACAGTCCACCATTGATCAAATTCACATGGGTGCTACGCCACAAGCACAAGCGTATGATTGGATGGTCGAAGATCCAGCCTTGGCATCCTACACCCATTCCAGAATTAGACAGAGGTTTGCCCTGGCCACCTTTTATTTTGCCACGGGAGAGTGGCGTGACCACACGGGTTGGACCAACACAACCTTGCACGAATGCGACTGGTTTTCCAAAAAGGCCACAGGTGCCTGCGATGATATGGACCAGATGATTCACTTGGCACTGTCGGACAACGATTTGGAGGGGACCATCCCACCCGAACTCTTTTGGTTGACCAGTCTCAAAACTGTCGATTTGTTTGGCAATCGCATCGATGGGACCATTCCTTCGGAATTTGGGCTGTTGACGGATTTGACATCCATCGATTTGTCCGGAAATTCATTGGATGGAGTGATACCAGGCAGTTTGAGTGAACTGCAAAACTTGACCGAATTGTATCTCGAGTCCAACCAGTTGACCGGGCACATCCCAGCTTCGTTGGGGTCCATGAGTCTAGAATATTTACGGCTCAAAGGCAACAACTTTCGAGGAATGATACCCGATGAAGTTTGCTCCATTCAAAGTTTTACCGTTGACTGTACCGCGGAGATTGTCGGGTGTGAGTGCTAGACGAGCTACGGTAAACGAGAAACAAGCAAAACATCAAGCCCAAAATCCGAGACAAGCTCCCTCGCAGGACCGTCACAGGGCTTGTTGCTGCCAAAGAAGGCAGCAAATCCTGGTCGAATCGAACCGTATCGCCGGGCAAGGCAAGAATAAAAACCGGAGGCTACAGACGGTATCCTCCTTTTCTGAAATCTACAAACAACAACAATTGGGGGAACTGTGTCCATTTTTATTTGATGATCTTGAGGACAGTACAGGACGTGGTTTGCCGACATCGACGACCAGGAAACGGAGAACCCACTGTATATTATCAAGCAAGAGCTGGCTTGGACAGCGTAAACAAAAACTAGTAACGAAACGTCAGAAATATTGCAAACACGGCACAGCTACAGGACAATCCAAGTGGCTTAATGCTTCCTTTGTGAGTCGTACGAATCAAAGTCAGCTGCAGCAGCACAGAAAACGACGAGAACCAGCCTCACGGCGGCACAAGCTCGTGGCTTAATCGCGCGTGTGTGTTTTCGTCTCCTTTTCGCAATATTGGACTCGACTCATTCGATCTGCCGATACGGACGACAAAGGGTCCTGAGACGTCGATAGATTTGCGAGAAGGGAAAGGTTCTCGTTGGTCCGATGCCGATAATAGTTCTCTGGGGTGGTGCGCAGACGTTTGCCGACCCTGGAGACAATCCAATGCCAAGATGACGGGGTGCCGAAGGAACAGCCACTGCCGAGCGTCGCTGCTGCTTAGGCAAATTTTAAAAACAATAGCTGCAAGAGAAGGTCCACGACAGCATTTAGTAGTGATACTGAAAATAGCTCACTTATAGAATGATATAATCTATCGTGTGCAATGAATGAAACGCCGAATGTTCTGCGCATATGCTGTATTTTGCAAAGCTTCGAAAGGTGCATGTTTGGATCAGACCTGACCTCCCGACTTTTCCGTAGCAGCTGTGGTTTCACTTTCGTCTTGAGCCACCGTGAGGTTGAATCTAGACTACTCAACCCCTCTTCCTCTGTCAAGATTGTAGTTCGCCCCACAGAATCAACCCACAGGTATGCCTCTGCAAAGTTCGTAAACCCATGATCCCAAGAGTTCCACATGACGGTGCCCTTGAAGTCATCGTACAGTTCCCCGGTAGAAGGGGTGGTTCCGTTTGTGACGGGACTTGTAATTGGTTTGGAACTTGCCTACATGTATGTATCCAGGTTTTTTTGGCTCCCCATCAAGCCTCTCGTCCATGACGGTTGCTTGTTGAGATGGTGGAGACATCTAACAACTCGGGCGCTTTCCTGTGCGTGGGACGGGCATTCACCAAGGTTTGGTGGCCTGGAGCGAGTAAGTAGGATACAATCAATCCTACCGTACCGTACCGGTATCCAGCAGCGAGAGTTGTGATGAGGCTACGACGAACTAGCTAGCTAGATAGATAGAAAAAAGTCACTGCGGCTGCAATGAAATGCCAAAATGATGGTGAGTAGCATCATCAGTGCCGAATGTGGTGCAGTAAGTCTGAACACAGCCCCCCTGGGGAGAAATAGTACATGTAGAAGCCCCAGCTCAAACAGTACATTTGTACCTGTCAGTTCATCATACCGGTACCGTACGAGTTCATCCCATGGGCATGAATTTTAAAATTGAGGATAGCTATTGAGATATCCACCAGAAGCAGCACTAGTCAATCTAGCCAGCGCACTTGTTTGTTAGTTTTTTTCAGGGGCGCCAATTACCAATGGCTGAAGCAACGCGAGAAACTTCCAATATTATGCAATGTCTGTCTGTCGCGCAATCGAGATTTGCAGTCTGGTAACGGTATGCATGTTGAGCCCGGGGCTAACGACGTGCTCTATTATAATATAATAGTATCATACACCTCCAAGTGAACGACCCTGGGGAGTTTAACGTATGCTGTTGCCTCAAGCCCGACCGGCCCAGGGAGGGGGGCACGAAAAGAAGATGACATGGAAGGAGAAATCATTGTTGTGGTCTGATATTTTTCAATCTGCCTGTCTGTTTTTGTAGCATTTGGTTTTGCCGAGCGTATGATAGATAGAACAAGCCATCATCGGCTGGTTGCTATTGTAGCTAGTACAGATAGACCAGTCCATAAAAGAGTGTCCAGAATAGAGTAAAGGAGAGTGCGTATTGTTGTAGACCTCCCATGAGATATTCCCACCATGTGAATTTGACATATCCCTTGAGATTGAAATTCATTTTGAGAGCCCAAATGATGAGACTGATTGCAAAATGAACGACCAGGAAGAATGCTGAACAAAAAAAGGAAAGTAAACAATATCATGATGAGAACAGAAGCTGATGAGAGTCCAACAAAACAACAAAAAACCAAATCAACCAAAACCACACAACGTGTATCATCGTTTTGTTTTGTTTTGAAGCGTGTTGGACGTACCAAACCCTTCCAATCCAGTGAGACCAACAATTCCAGTAGCACATCCCGCCGCAATCCCCATGACGGAGCGTATCTTATCGATTCGTTGGAAATTTCGTTGCAGCGTCATGGAATCAAAGACTTCCTTGGCATTCTCTTCCGTTTTCATTGGACCATCGTCCAGTCCTGCCATTGGGTCGATCATGATGACAATGGAGTAGTTTTGGTGTGTGTTGTCCGATACAGTAAAACTTGCTAGACTAGTACAATAAACGTCTTTAGGTTATGACGATGGAGCGAAATGGGGGGAGCGGTTTGGGGTGGCTGTTGGCTTTCCGCTGTCGGCTGTCATGGTCGCCTTCCATCCAGGAGAAACATGTCGCACACTTCTTCGTAGAAATTGAGATCTTTTCTCGCCAAGTCAGAACAAAAACCACACAATGACGAAATCGGTTCCAGAAATCCAGAAATAGTCCTGTGCTGTGTATGACCATGAGTGTTTCTTCTGTGTTGGTCCACACGTCCTGTACTACTAGAAGGATGATGCTGCTTCTGCTGCTATTTGTGTTGACGCCCCAGAGCAGCCATGCCCTGACCAGTCCAGTGGACCCCCAGTACCTGGAACGAAAAGTAGAGGAGCTCTTTGTCAATGCGAAGCAAATGCCCTTGGTTCTGTCTCGCGCATACAAAGGCAACAACGGCGACGACAAACCCACCACTATTCACGTACGAACATCTTTTGATGGCGATACCATGGTCTCTGTGGCCGAAGCGTGTCATCCGGACCATGATCCGGACGAATTTGTGGAATTCTTGGAGAACTTTGGAGCCGCATTCCCTCAAGTCAATCCCATGGCACGCAATGTCCAGCATTTGGAAGGAGACGCTCAATCCTGTCAGGGCGTCAAGAGTGTCTTGGAATTTCCCTTTCCGCTGCGCAATCGCATCATGCTGCATTGGAAATATCTGCGGCTTCATCGTGGCTGTAGCAGTCCAAAACAACAAAAGCAGCAACAACAACACGAGCACATGCTCATTCTGTCGGAACAAGGCAATCAAGAATTGCTCCAAAAACACTACACTCCATCGGAACAAAAAGACTATGTCTTGGCCCGGACATTTCTCTGTGTCTACTGGATCAAACCTCTGCGTTGTCCCCAAACGGGAAACATTCGAGGATCCAGCATACAGTATGCCTTTAGTGGTGATACTGGTGGCAATATCCCTGCTTGGGTTCAAAATCAAGTGGGCCCCAAGACAGCTCTGGATTCGGTGCAGGGATTGTTGGATTATGTAGGACGGAACCAAAACAAAAAGCAGGCAGCATCTGCTGGAAACAAAGATCACTAGTCAAGAAACGAGTGAAGATGCGGTAAATGGACTTGTCCTTTGCAAGACCAGAGGATCAGAGCAATGCAACAACAAACAATGGTTTCCATTTCGCTCACGGAAAAGTGAGAATACGTACCAGGGTTTGCTGCCCAATTGCCTATTTGGGGGCCATGACTTCACGCGGCCCAGGGTTCAGTGATGCGGGAAGAAAGGTACATATTGTTTGCAAGAGAACCACGTTGCATTCTCGAGGAGGATCCCATGAATCATGCCAAACAGCTGTTCACAAAGATGCCAAGATAAAAGTAATTCTTGCTACTAGCTAGTAGGATTAGTAAAGTCTACCCTACCAGAGATGTCTGCCCCTAAACAACAAAAGGGTTCCTCTACATTGACTTGCCATGATATAAATTCTCCCCTACATTTTCTTTCTCCGCCCACACAAAACACAGACTCCACCACCTGTCGACGCCACAGCTCCAACCAAAGGGCTAGGGTGACGTCCACTCCACTCCAATCCACACCTCCTGTATGCTACTGTTTCATAGATAGCGCTTCCTTCCAACTGCAGCTACCGTACCGTACATTCCGCCATGATGTTTGCTTAGACGGTAAGCTGGATCTTGTCCCGCAAGTTCGCAAACAGCGAATGCATGGATTCCTCATCAATCCCCATCACTGGCTGGACGGTATTCTCTTCGGCATCGGAAAACATGCCGTCATCTTCGTCGTCGGTTTCCTCCTCCTCTTCGCCGCCACCGCCACTCTCTTCCGTCTTGTTGGTGGTACTGGTACTGCTAGGCTTGCTACTGTTGTTGCCGTTGGCGGTACTGCTGCCAGTGTTGCCGGTGCTGCTCTTTTTGGGATCCTTATCCTTGTTGTCACCTCCTTCGGACTTGCCCGCGGCAGCCGCCGCAGCGGCCTTGTTGCGCTGCTTGCGTCGCTTGTTCTCATCAAAAAACGCCTGCTGGATGCTGGTCAAGAGAATGCGACAATCAATTTCATCGTACAGATCGAGTTCCTTCATGACACCCTCTTGCAGAATAAAGAAACGTCCTTCGTTTTCCAAGAGCGGTTCCATGATTTTCGCAAAGACAAATTCCTGTCGTGTGCGGAAATCATCCGTGGCAACAGACGTGTACGCGGAACAATGTTGGGTAATCATGGCACAAAAGTCACTCTTTTGATGGTAGTGTTCCAACGCTGATCCAAAGAACGTGTCCTTTTTGGTGTAGAGTTTGCCATAGTCTTCCCCCAAATCATGTCGATTGTACCGTGGAGCATCCGACATGTTTTGATTGTTTTCGTCATTGGCGCTTTTGTTGTTGTTATTGGTGTTGCTCAAGGCACCATCGGGTCGGCCCGTACCCTTGTACGGCTGACACGCCTCTCGCAATGCCTCCATGGCCGTATCGGTGGCTCCAATGACTGGATGTCCATTGGCATCGACTGCGGTCTTGTTGTTGCCAAAACTCGAGGAGAAATTGCTCAAGATTTCCATGGGTTGATTATTATTAGTATTGGCCGCCGACGTGTAGATGGAGGATGTGGCGGAAGCTTGTTGTTGTTGTGTCCCGGGAGATCCCGTCGACGGCAAGTTTCTCTGATGAAAGTTGGCCACACGAATGGCGTCCTTGCTATGATGCTGATGAGGTGAATTGGCAATTTGATTTCTGCGCTTGAGTTCCAAATCAAACGACTGCTGAATGCGTGCCATAATGACCTTGCAGTCGGCATTCTCATGATACTTGAGTTCGGCCAATTCTCCACCCTTGATGTAAAAGAAGCGTCCTCCTTGTGCCAGCAACGGTTTGACGACTTGTTCGCGACAAAAGTCATATTTGGTGTAGGGAGCATGCTGATTGTACTGTTTGTCCATGGCAAAGTAAGTGTCACAGAGCGAGGAGATGAGTTTTTCAAAGACAGATCCCTGTCGGGCCTTTTTGGCGGCGGCATGCTGTCCAAAGACCGTGTCGTAGGGGCCAGCCTTGGAAGGGACCTCGTTGTTGGCCGCATTCTTGGCAGCCTTTTGCCGCATCTGAGCTCGTGTCCGCTTGCGTTCATCGCGGAGTGCCTGTTGGAGTTTGGTCATCATGACGCGCGCATCCGTCTTGATTTGGAGGTCCAACATCTTAATGTTGCCGCCTTCCAAACAAAAGAAGCGACCGCCCTTTTCTTTGAGAGGATTCACCACTTGCTGGTAGACAAACTTGTGCTTGGAAGTAGAGTCTCGCGCAGGAATCGAGCTGTAGGCATCGCTGTGCTTCACAATCAGCTGCCGAAACCGACTGCCACTGCGAATCTGATTGGCTCGACCGCCTTGACCGAAAATGGCATCCCACTCGGTGAACTTTCTTTGATCTTGGTCCATTACCAGCTTGTAGGGAGTCTCTTCTTGACTCTGCTGCTGATCCTTGTCCTTCTCACTCGACATTGCCTGCCTGTGGAATGTTACAACCGATCGCGTGAGTGGTACCAAAAGTAGGTAGTCATTTGAAGAAGGATGCCTTGGTCTTTACAGCAGCATGTCCTCTTCAAGAGCAGCAACGGAGCAACAACAACAACAAACGAGGCTTTGGCATCTTAACTTACTCCAGGAGTACTTGTGAGAGACACGGGAGTAACACCTGTACGGTACAACAATCGCTCTTTGGCTGGTAGATCCCAAGACAACGACAGAAAGAAACAAAGAAGCAAGTAAGTAGTGATGGGAATTGATTTCGCTTGGCTGGGAGTTAGTTGTGTGTGTGTTGGACTCCTGCAAGAGTTGATCAAAGAGGATTGCTGCAAGAGAAAAAGGAGAGTGGTCACGCAACGAAGATTCTACGCCGTCCTGTTTACTACAAAATGACTTTAGTCGACGATTTAAGAGGTGGGAGTGCCGGTTCCATAACCAAATTCTTCGACAGACCGACCGGCGCTCGTGAAAGACTTCAAAGCCCTATAATAGCTACCGGTACTCGTAGCCCTAACATGTGGCATTGGTGGATGCATCCATGCAGAGTGCAAAGGTGCATGCGAGAAACATAGAAGACAAAGGCTGGGAACTGTACATGCCGTAAAGATTCAAAAGACAGTTGGCATAAGCTCACCTCCTTGATATAGCTTTAACAATATCAGGAAGCAACAGTTTTAGTAGCAACCAACAAGAATCATTTCTATGGCGTCCACCGTCACCCATCCAAGGTCCATGGTGAAATATATCGCACTCAAGTTGCTGCGTACAAACCGCTCTTAGTGCCATTTTAATCCATTCGGATGTCTGAGATACCCTTGACCACCGTAAAGAAAGGGCTCCGTAAGGGGCAGCATCGGGCTACGTACCAGTACCCCCAATCCCTGACTTTGCCGCGTTTCTTTGCAACCTCAGCCTCCATTTCTGGGTTCTTGTCGCCCTGATGCACCTCGTAGTGCGGAGCGTCTTTCACATATGCAACCTTGAGGTCATCTTGTATGGTCGCCATACATGTAGAATTCCGGTAATGATCTCCAGAAAAAGTGTCGAGATCCATGGCGCCTTTCCCACCAAGACGCCTTCCAGACCCCCCTCTCACAATGGCCGAACCTGCCGACTAATCGTCTCCCAAGCATTTGGCAATGGTTGAGTGTCAGTGATGATACCGGTACATCAACTGTCCATCTTCTTGTCGAGCAGCCGCACGCAAAAGAGGACAACGATCCTGATCCCTATCCTTCCACGCAAACCTGAACCCTCATGGGTTCTTCGACGAATGACTCGACTCACAGTTGCCAAACTGTACCATCTCACAATACCACAAAATCGATTCCCACACTTCGCTCCTACACATCAAGTACATCTCCACATCTCTCAGGTCATCACCTGCGTTCCTGAAATGGATACCCACATACATGTCGTATGTCTGCCTCCTTCGCAAGATCGCTCTAAGGCAATAGCACCCCTCGAAGACCGCTCACAGATAGCAACCTTGAATGAACACAACATGCAAGACCGGTCCAACTCTCTCTTTCAGCCATTGAACAGTCGATCGCAAGAAGGTTGTCTCCTTTCTCTGCTCACAATTCTATTCTTCAGCCGAGCTGCAAGCAAGAACTAGAATAGATTAACCTCTTGCGTCGGCATCAGGGTCTAAATCCTTTCGAAAATCTTCGAACCATGGCCACCGCTTTATTCTCTACTCTCGTGACCCGGAAACACTGGACGTTCAAGGACTACCGTCTACTAGGGGCTGTCTGAACTGACACGACAGCTAGGAGCGTCACCTCTCAAACACCTTTTGCTCTGCCGTCACTCGGTCACCTCTCCTCATCGCGTTCGTATCTTCGGTGATGAAGACTACATCCATGTCGGGCATCCTTGTTCACATACCCCGCTGACTTCGAACTCGCCTCCCTTACGACAACCTCGCTGTTTGTGCTTACCGGAAACGATCCTTCACAGTGTCGCTCCCGTGATACTTCCAAACACCAGTTTCCAACGTGTCGCCGAGACACGCTGCAAGACGCTAGCCTATTTGGATGGTCCGGACATGTTAGGAGACGATCCTCCTACCCTTCACTCGGGTCCCCATGGACCAGCCGAAGCGGACGTTGACACCTACCGATCACGTCGTGTCATGCCCCTTCCTCACTACTTGACCTCGCGTGCCCTCACTCAGGTACCTACCGGTCGCTACTCCATCGTCCAGTTCCGAAACCTCATCCTTGCTCCCGAGATCACTCACGCCGAAGTCGCCCGTCAAAATGCCATCATCCCTCTCGTCCAATGGTTTCGCGCTGTTTGCACCCGCGATGCGGGCGGCTCTCTCCTACGCATCACCGGGAATACTCTGGTCTCCATGCCAACGTCATGGCTCTCCACGATGCCTAAACTCAGTCAAACGTCCGTTGCTCACTGCCCTAGGCGCAACCGGAGCCTGGATTAACAAACGATGGC